AGTGAAAGTGCCAACAAAGCAGAAACAATCAGCATGTTAGGGAAAGTATTGACTACTCCACTTGTGAAAGTGAAAATGCTAACAAAGCAGGAACAATCTGCAAGTTAGCGGATATGTTCACTACTCCACTTGTTCAATGAAAATTTGAGTAAAAGAGATGTTGACGATCAACATTATTAATTATAATTAATATATATAAATATAAATAAATATAATTCAATTATAATTAATTGAATTTTAAACAAATCCCTACAAAGAGGTAGTCGGAGTGAATACTTCAACTCGTTGACATCTAATAAACATGTTATGAATAAGCTCCAGTTCTTTTTAGTGTGATGTTTTGAAAGTGAAAGTGCTAACGAAGCAAAAACCATCCAGCTCTGTCAAGGATCTGGTGTAAATGCCTCATTTGCATTACACGGCAACAGGCCAAGTGTCGACCAGAAGAATCCACCACTATACTGTACAGCGTGAAAATTCAAGTGACAAGATGCCAACGATTAGTCAGTAATAAAATCTGATGTTTTTCTAGAGATTGTCAGATGTAATTTCACCAATGGACCATGCACTTGGTACAGGCGGGAGGTATTCTTTTGTTTTGTCTGATATTAGGCGCATTGTTCTTTAATATCCATGAAAGTAAATTACTGCACCTTACTGAACACTGAGAATATCAATCACTTCTTCGCCAATTTTAATTTAAGAACTTGTTCGTTAAGGCAGGAGCTCTTCTGTAACAATCAGTCTCGAAAAATACTGATTTCTTTGGCACTTTGTCTTTGCACGGTGCTTATGTACGCAAATTGTTTTCCATTTGTCCACGATGATTGAAACGGCTCGACAGAATTTGTCAGATGAGCTCTTAATTCTTTTGTGTGGGTTGAAGCGCAAACACCGTATCGAAATTAAGCTTTCGGCAAATAATTTGAATAATATTAAGGAAGCAACCTGTTTGATTCAACCGGCAAAAAATTGTCAGAGCTGAAAGCTTGAATGAAGTAAATAGCAGACAGTTA